TAGATTTTGAGCAAGCTGCCATTGAGTAGGTAACTATTATGTGTGTGTTTAACTTGAAATTAATGATTAAACAGTTGTACATGAAAATCGATTATGAGTGGAGATGGACTGTCAGTATCTTTTTTAAAGATGTTTATTTAATTTTTTTATACTTTAATTTTGCATGTATACTTTTACTAGGTTATATTAATTTTATTTTATTCTGGTGATACACAAATTGTGTAGTGGAACCTTCCTTTGTTGTAAGTACTTTTGGTCAGAGTAACACGTATCAAACTAATCTAATTTTCTAATTTTAAGTCTTCTAGAGAAAAGGTTTGTTTTGTTATGTTAGTACCAATAATTAGGCACTCTAAAGAACTTCTGATTATTTTTTTTCTATGAAATATAGTTTTAGCAGCTAAGTTATCAATTATACAAATATTTCTGTACAAGCAAATTGTGAACAAACACATTTTATTATTTTTAAATTGATGTCTAGATTTCTGAAGATTAATAAATTATATCTATTGATCTACATAATTCATATAATATCTTTTTAACAAATATGACAATGCAAATTTCATAACAGACAATTTATTATATTATACAAACGATTTACGATAAGCATCCACCGGCTTGTAGAATGATAAGAATCATAATTCTTCATCATGATAATGATATTACACTACCACAGCTTATCTGCTCTGAACGCAATCTGTAATAATACCCTTTTTATATTATACAATTACCTGGGTAAAATATTTTGTTATTTTAAGCACACAAAATTTCAAATGTTTGAAATATAATTTTAAATAAGCAGAAGCAGAATAAATTAAGTAAAATTCAGATATTATATGTTTAATTCGATGTTTTTGGCAAAACATTTGCAATATTGATCAATTAAATCCAGTATTTAGTTATGAATAGGGTTCGGATTTTTCGGACAAACTCGAGTTGGGTCCCAAATTTCAAAAACAGCATGAGTTGGGTCCCGGTATACTTTATGTAATACACGAGTTGGGTCCCAAATTTCAAAAACAGCATGAGTTGGGTCCCGGTATACTTTATGTAATACACGAGTTGGGTCCCGGTATATTTTATAGAGTACATGAGTTGGGACTAGCCTATTTGCGTTACCCAGGAGACACCACGTGGAGGTTGGCTAGAATGTCTTCCAAAAATTTTATTTTTTGTTATGTTAAGGTCTGATGTAAAAATTATAAATATAAATTATAAAGTAATTAGATTAATTTTAGAAAATAAAAAATATTATATATTATTTAGTAATAAATTTTTGTATTAAAATAAAAAATAACTATTAAGTAATAAATATTAATTGTACTAAAATAAATATAGGCTAGGGAATAAATTTAAATAACACTTCTTTTACAAAATTTAACCGCGTCAATTCTCCACTAGTAAAAGAAAGCATCTTTTCTCTTAAAAAATTTTCTTTTTCTACGGTTTTTTTGATTGGTTAGCGAGAAGATGACTGATATAATATATAATATATATTTTATTAGATGGACACTTAGATGGATACGTCTTAATATCTTATTAAGATAATATAATAATAATAATAATAATAATAATATATATATTATTACCGCGGACCCAATTCGAGTATTATAAAATAATACCGCGGACCCAATTCGAGTATTATAAAATAATACCGCGGACCCAACTCGTGTTTTTTTTAAGGGATCAAATATCTCGGGACCCAACTCGCGTTTTCCCGATTTTTCAATATAATCGATAACAAAAGGATTTAAAATGTGAAAAATGAAAAAAAAAAATTCTTTTTTTTTATACGAAAAAGCAATTCAAATATTTATCACAAAATTAAATCTACTAACTAATTGGTATTAAGAACAATTTCACTACCATGCACTTAGATAAACTGTCTTAAGTAAAACGTTGACGGTTTGGGCCCAAAATAGTTTGTACATAGAAAATAATCTTTAAACGTCCACCGAAGTTATTTGGGGCATATTTCATACATAAATAATTATCAAAATTAAGATTTTTACTCAGAGAAGAATAAAACCCATTCAAAATAATGTTAAACATGATATAACAACAAAACACCGTCTTCTCAAGCTCTCATCGATTAGTAATGATAATATTTAAGCTGTGTATAAAACTATTAGATAAATTGAAAATCAAACACAAAAATGGCAAAGAAAAAAAACATCTATCGTCTTAGATATTAAATGAAACACAATTTTATATAAAAATTATTTTTCTATTATTATCGTATTATTAAAAATAAGCCTTTGGCCTTTAAATCTGAACCCTAGTTATGAACCTTTACAATTTATTAAAACAGCGAAAATAATTTTATAATTGTAATGACATGTCTAAAAAATTCACACGAATAAAAATATTTAGTGAAAATACCATTTTGAATAAAAGCATAAAAAATAAATTATTAAAAACTGGTGTTCCGTATTTATTTCTGTTTTCCTCTTTTTTTGTTTTTTTGTAACTATTTTGAAATGTGCAATGACCATATACAATTTTCTACTAGAAATTATCCTTGAAATTCATATTGAAATATTTTTTTTTCTGTAAATATTTTCTTAGGCACAAAATAAAATCAATATAATAAAAAAAAAACTCAGTTTAATTTTGAACTAATTAATAATAGTAATAATAATAGCTCCGCTCAAAATATAAAATTATTTAAGTATATAATATTTAATACATACATAAATTTAAATCTATTTTTACGAAACATTACAAATGTATTTACTATTTTTCTCTTGTTTTTATATTGTATCAATTAATATAAATCAAATGCACTATAAATTTAAAAAAATTAAATTTTTAAGTGTAACCCAAATTGAAACAATATTAGATAGTAAAATACACATATCATGGATCTATCTAAATAAGTGAACATAAACTCGCAACTTATGTTGGTCGATCTCCTTTTAGTTTTGATTAACATAAATAACATATTATTTGCTATAGAATATATATCCCATAACACATCATCAAAAAAGTTTTTACTAATACATTTAAACCTGCCAAATAAAATCAAGTGTACCAAAATTATTCCATATAGTTGTATATTATATAACTTGACATTAAACAAAATCTAAACATTTTATCAAGTATACAAATTAATAGTTTTACATTTACATTGGTAATAGTTTATTTAAGTTATAGATTCTAAGTCACGATTTATTTACTTAATATCAGTTTATAATGAAATCAAATTAATATTTTTAAAATATTTAATTTCCAACATTGTTGTATGTTACTTTTGTATAAATATAAAATTATAATTGTGTCTTGATAGCATCTGGAAGACAGATCAAAATATAGATACAAGCATAATTTATTCCACTGTCATAACATTATAATTTAATAATATTTTCTAAGATAGAATAAAATATTTTAGTAAATAGTTGGTGTCTGTTCCCAGTAAATTCAAGTAGGTCTCATAGTACAATAATATGAACTGATTCGAGTAAAATATAAATAAATAAAACAGTTGAATAAAAATGAATATACACCTAACCAGACATCTTATGCACGTCATCAAAACGTTCGTACAACTTTTTCATGCCCATTCTGCAGGACAAAAGTTTTAGATAAACTTCAGTAGTAAAAATGTACCAAGCTAAAATTTAAACATCCCTTTGACATCCATTATAATGTTTACCATAAAAGAATAATTAAAGCTACTTTGAGTAATTATACTCTCACATCTGACTATTTAATGTATGCATAAATAGATTGAACGTTCGCATAAGCATATACTATAATTAGTCGTTTATCAAAAGCAATACGACTAATTTGAGACCAACGTCTGTATAACGAGCAATAGATTCTAAGTGTTATTGCGTATAATATTATCGACTGTCAAAAAGTGTAAATATATTAGGTGTATTATTCGTTTCAAGATCCTAGCGCACAATTGCAGAATACAAATAGTAGTACACATTTATCCAAAAAATGTTTTAATACATTCATCAAATTATGTAACATTTAATAATCAGAGTATAATAAAATTGTATTGTCATTCACAATTAATTTAAAAATATAATAATATGTAATCTCAACCGAATTTTAAAAATCCCATACTTATTTTAGGAATTACTCAATCACAAATGTCATACTGACATGTATTTCAGTTTTTACATTCATATAATATTTTACTTTGAGTTTCCACCCTCAAAAATATCTACATATACTAGTTTATATGTATGTATTGCCTTTATTAATTAAAATCTAATAACACAATAAGTAACAGCAAAATCACGTTTTAAATTGAATAGGTAACCTTCAAAATGTGTTTAATAAGAAAGCCAAAATACTTTGTGTTTTTAAAATAATATTGGTGGTACTGGTAAGTCAGCTATAACTTAGAAATTGAAAATATTAAGAGTGAGTAACCTGCAGATGACAGTCGAGATAAGTTGGTGGTGAGACTTATCTAAATAAAAACATTATGATATTTTATGATGACTACACAAAAATAGAATTATTTATAATCGTGTATAGATAAATTTGGAAACATTTTCTATTCATTTATCTTAAGGAAAATGTCAGTTATCTGCTATAATTTATCTAAATATTCAAATTATATAATAAATCCATACCTGTAAATTATTTTTTAGTAAAGGATAAAATAGTTAAGAGATATAAAAAAAAATGTTAGTGACTAAGGTTAAAGTCCGAGTTCATGACGATATTAAAAAATATTTATTTAACTGAATACCAATGTATAAAATAAATGTCTCAGAAACACGGAGCACATTTGTTGTATTTTGATTATTTATTGAAAATAAGAATTTGATTTAACAGTGTAATACCTATCTCAATAATATAAATTATCTAGTAAAAATGATGATACTCATTGGTGGTGTTGAAATGATAGGTATAACAAAAATAATATTCATAATGAATTACCTCCAACCATAAAGATCACAAGAACCACTCATCCTCCTTGTGCCCAACTAAGTGTTAGCGGGTGAACTATACAATTATTTCGTATTTTGTTTCAGCTTCGAAATCGAGGAGTCCATCCCCTGAAAGGGAATTTGAACCTCCAAAGTTTGAGACCGTCCCTGTCACACGGCAACCGAAAAAAAATTACAACACATCCTCAACCGGAATATCAGTGGCAGATGACCGCCGCGTGCGCAGTGGAGTGGATTATGACACAGACAGCGATGACGAAATGGCCTTAAAGTGCGATGACTTCGATAGTTATGCGATGGGTATCGAAGACGACCTGCGATCTGTGCATTACGTGGAGGCTACGGCGTTGACCACGTTAGCTGCCAATTCGAGTACTGTGGCTATACTGGGCACGACGGCCAAGTGCAAATCGGCGGGCCCATCGCCGGCCATCCGGCGGCAGCAGTCTTCATCTCCGTCACCATCGACGTCGTCCTTGCCGTTGGGGCAGAGGCCACAACTCATTGGATCTGTATCACAGGATACTCTGGAGTCGAACCACTCAAATACGACTTCGGTGAGGGAACTGGCTTCCGAAGCTGGAACGATACCAGTCTTGAGCTCTACGTCCGAGAAGGAGCCCCAAGCACTGTGGCTATCCGAAGCCGAATGGACCGAGCACCTGGCCACCAAGGCCGGTCACAGGGATTCACCGTTATTGGCTACGGAATCCGTTTCACCACCATCGTCGCCGTCGCCATTTTTGACATCGTCACCTCAGTGGCCGATGATACATAGCTCCGTTAAAAGTAATCTAGACCGCATACCTGTGGGTGTGATCGAGGTCTTGGACTGTGCCCCGGCTGACCAGCGACGGCCACCGCCGACGAAAGCTCAACGGCTCCCGAAGGCGCAGCGGGCCACTCGCGGTCAAAACATTCCATTGCCGGTGATACATGCGATGGAAAGGAAACCCAATTCAATGGGCCACGAAGAACTGTTTAAGACAATGATGGTGCAGCCACCCTCGTCCGATAAACACGGATATCGTTCACGGATGGCCACCGGAAGCAACACATTTGATTCATCTTCCAGGAAACCATTGCTCAGACAGTCCAACGAATCCAAATTCAGGTACACCGAAGATGACTTTTCGGCCGCCACCGAATGGATGATTAATATGCCGGTGTTCGAAAAGTGTCCTCCAGCGAAGTCCAAAAGTAAGTACCTAAACATGCAGCGTGGATACATTATATTATTAATAGGTAGCTACATGTCTAATGTCTATGTATAAAGTACTACCAGATTTTCGTCTTCGAGTTATAATTAATACCTATGTTACTCAGTCATAGAGTATTTTCACTCATGATTTCAATATGATTTTCTATATTTTGTATAACATGCGATCACAGCGAATAGAGGAAAACACAGATTAGGTATTTTCCGACAGTATTATTAAGTGTATTGTTATTTGTCTGAGATATTATTATTGATTATCTATAGCATTATAATAGTACTATTTATAGCCAATGATATCAAGTGTCTACTTTTTACAATTTTTATAAACCTAAGCTTGTTGGTTATCCGAAGATAGAAAGCATAATATTATAATATTATAATATTATATTTATCTATTGCCTAAATAATTAATAACAAAAGTTGAAACACCAATTTGGCCAAAACCTTGACAACTTTGGCGATACATAAAATACGTTCTTGAAGCCATCCACTGTAGTGTACATATATACAACAGCTGTAAATAATAGTTTTCCCTTTTTTTCCCTGCCCACGACAGTATCGTTTGTAAGGATTGTCGTTTTTGTTATTTTAAACTCGGTCATTAGTATAAAACGCGTGTCAAACGCTTAGGTTTGTCGACAATGTATAGCCTTTGGCTTTATATACTATCTATAGTTACGGTTGGACATATGACAGATAATATTTCAATTGTTTCTCGGTTGTACAAACGTACACCGTGACGCCATTATTACAATATCGATTGACTGTGCTACAATAGGTATAAGTACCTATACGGTATTACGCATTACGTGTAAAGCATCAGAAATGAATTGATTTTTATTTTCGTCGAACTCAAAATGGTTGGTACCATGACGGCATAACGATTCTAAATCCACTATATTATAATAAAATCGTGTTAAAATTGTATTTGCGATAATGGCGAATAACATTAATTAATGTAACCTAGGTATCTGAATATGTGTGACCACATATAAAATTAATTGATTAAATAAATAATCGCTCATCGTTCATTATAATATTATTTTTAATTTAAAAAAATGTTTTTACGTGTAATTCCTTTTCACTTAACTATCATAATTCAAATATTACGATTTGGTTTAATTCTGGAACCACTGGATGCCAAAGATATATTTGGGTCCTTAAATTGAACTGTAATACATACCAAAACAAGTTAATAACAATACAGTATCGATGTTTAGTAAATGGTCTGTAATAAAATTTAAAAAAAAAAACTGAGGATCATTATCATAACAAATTGACATACATTATATTATATTATATCTAAACAGAAAGTACGCAAGATGTTTATCATGGGTATTATAACGATATACTCTATCGTTCCTAATTAAAATTGATTTGAGACCAAACAATTATAATGAACAACTGGGGTCATACTAGTAATAATGTCAGATCAATTATTTATCTTGTCATCGATACAATATAACTCTGTAATATTTAGTATGTGTCAAGACTTTTTTTCTGACAATAATACAATTATAGTTTGTATACTATTGTTACATACCTACGTCATTATTATTTGGATGAATACAAATTAAGGAAGTTTTTTTTTTCACGGGACATGCCAACTTCAAAATACAACCTACTTCACATGGGGTGCATTAATTGTACAACAATATACTCAGTGTTAGCAAGGCATAGTGATTGTTCCGAGACAAAGATTCGAACTACAGATAAGACACGTATAATATATAGTTCCGAAGTCGTAACAAGAGATACACGAATATTGTCGGAGCACACCTCGACAGACCGAGTAATAACATTTGAGGGTCTGGAGTATGGTTTCCCCCACCCACCCTTTCCTCGAACACACTATACCTGTATGGAGACCGGAAACACCGTTGTTGATCCTTACCAAAGTTATTTATCTTTTATTGGATTCCTCTGCTTGATAGAAAGTTATAGTACCATATAGGTACCTACAACCACTGAAGTTTTACGGTTTAATATTAAAACAATGAATGCCAGTTTTTCAAATCATATAATACGAGAACTGCCTATAGTATTGTCTTGTCGTTTACGAGTTTCAAACAACAAATTAGTAAACAATTTTGTTTGTCAAGAAACTATAACTTTTTAAAGTTAAGTGAGCATTTCGTTGTTAATTCAATCGAGTTTATTTCTTTAGAAAATCATAAGCACTCCTGAGAATCACACATATTATTTCCGTGCAACCATTCTCCAAACGAAAAATCCTATAACAAATATATTTTTCGTATGTAGCGCAGTGGCAATTGCATTTGCACTTTTCACAAATTCAGCTAGAATAAGCTTCAAGTTCCTTGGATCATTACCAGTGGTGGACTATACGGGATATGGAGACTTTTCGGGGCATTTTGTGTTCTTACAGTACACATAATTATATAAATAACTATTAGAGGGATTCCTGCTTATGGCTGTAGAGAAATATAAATTAAATATGAAATTGATGTTGAAAACATAACTAGCGTTGTTAAAAAATTGAGTGATTTTTTAGATAACATTTTTTTTTAAAACAAACCACAAACCTACAAATATTTCTTAAATTTAATGTTATATTCTGTTTTAACTTATTGTAAAATATAAAATGTGTTAAATGAATACTAATTTGAGGGCAACATGTTCTATAAAACTTAAATATTATAAGTAATTTACACCTTAAAAAAAATCAAAAAGCTATGTCAAGGACTAAACCAATTTTAGGTTTGGTAAAATAGTTTTCCCGGGATGAATTTTTTTTTCATAGTTCACCACTTATTATCATGATGTTATGTTGGATGATCGTGTGATATTGTATGAATATCTTTAACAAAGCGAGAAAAATATATAAATAAAAATAAAAAAGAGTGCTAGCAACCCACCGATATGTTGCATAGAATCGCCTCGGCATTAGAATGCAAATCGTTCGTGCGAAAATCGTTCGAGGAAATTACGCTCAACTATATGGCTAACGGCGGCGCACATAGTAAATATCTATACATATATACTCATATTATATACACTATACAGGTACATATAATAACAAGAGTGGCGCCGTATGTAGTAATAATAAAATAGATAAACGGCTGAATTTCGGGAATGACGACGAACACCACATATATAAGGGTAACGAATACCAATTATGATAATATTGAATAAAAAAACTACTGAATTATTTAAAACAACTGAAAAATACGATACGCCACCGTATTTTACAAAGACGGAGTATATTGTCTGCTAAATATGAAATACATAATTAGCAAGGTTTATTATAATAATTACATTTTAAGAGAATACGAAATGATTTAATAATTATATACAATTTTAACAGCTTTTAACAATTTAAAGTTTTTACTATTTTTAAAAATTATTTACAACACATTGGAATGTCTACACTGTCCAATGTTATTGGTTGTCAGGTAATTATCACGGGATCATATTTCAAATAGGTAAAAATATGCTCGCTCGGATTGCATCAAGCGAGGAACCAGATTGATTTAGTAAGACACGATTGAGAACATTATTTGTTATACGATTTAGAACTAGCAATTTATATTCATTTTTTTCTCACTCAAGTATTTTTCATATTTAGTATTGAATAAATACCAAAAATCAACTTGGAAGTACATTTAAAAAGTTTGATTACTTAAGAAATTGGTTAATTTTGTTTTTAGATTCTCTGAGAGGAGCGATGAATGTATTGATGCGCGTGTTTCTTTTGTATTTGTCATCATGTTTTATGGCAGTAAAAGCGCTTCAATTTTCTTTAACATCAAATTTTCTAGTAGGAAAGTTAATCTAGTTGGTGCATTTGGAAGGTCGAAATTTAAAATACCCAATTGTTTTCGAAAGCGACAGGAAGAACAAATAAGAAAAAGGAATAAATTAAGGAAAACAGTAAATTCATAAGCAAAACCAATTTTTGAAAAAGTTAGTGTAACTCTAAAAAAAAGACCTAATAACCATGCAATTTTCACTGAATGTTTGTGTTATCTTTTCTATCTTCTTCATTTTTATCAATTTATATGCTTAATAAAATTTAAAAAATATTTTACTCGTTTTGACTGGTCTACGGACATTTTCAATTTTCAATTTTTTTATTTTTTGTTTCCTATAATTGATAATACAATTTTTTTTTTTTGTCAATGAAATTGTAATACAAGGCTCCTGATAAATATTTACTCTATTGGTTGTATAATATTAAAAATACATATGTGCGTTTTTTTTTACAAGGATTTAAAGTTTAAATTTTCACCAAATTCATGTCATACAAAATATACTTATTATTTTATTGTTAACATTTTTAGAGTTTTCAACTTTTTTAGTTAAGGGTTGATTAATACGGGCAATTTAAAACAATATTCCACATAGGTTATTCTGTAACCAAAAAATTTAAAAATTTGTAATCACTGTTTTTTTTTTGAGTTTTTTTATTTTCAAATGTGAACGAAATTACATATGATATAGGTAACCAAGAATAATATGTATGTTTTTTTGTTGTAAATTAAAAATATTATTACTACTACTACTTAAACCTTTTAAAATATGTTATTGTATTTTACACCCACAATGACTTTTCAAATGTATTTTTTTTTATTTCCATAATACACAAATTTTCAGTTAAAAAAAAATAATTCAATGAGGTGAATCGTTCGATAGCCGATTAAATGATTAGCACCGTTGCAAATAAATTCGTTCTCAATCGTATTAATTTTTTGGGTAATCGACAAGGTCTGTGACCGTTTAGTGTTTTCAATGGGCATGGCCGGTTTCCGCCAAAAGTGTACCTTTCCCTTTTCCCCCAATTCACTTTTCCGCCAAATCAAAAAAGTAAGTCTAGAATTTGAATAATGTTTGAATATTATTTATAAAATATACAATATGTCAGTCAACAATATTTCGGTTCAAAAAAAGTAATAAATTCAATAGTAAGTTATAGTTTATCGAGAACGGTTAGAAAGCGACTAGGCTGCGTACTATTATAGGTACAATAACGGTTAGTTTCGTACGTATCATACAACTGTCAACTGTAACAATATAACTGGTACAACAAGCAAGATTAGCAATAAAAATCGATAGAGTTTGGGAAATAATCCCGATAATCAGTGATAAATTTAACATTTGGTTGAAATTACGGTACGTTATAGGAATATATATCAATATAGTACAAACTTTTTAATGTATATAAAATAAAAATAAAATTATAATTTACAATATATTAAAAATATTTAAATTATACTAGACTAACTTTTTGATTTGTCGGAAAAGAGAATTGGGGGAAAAGGGAAAGGCAGGGTTTTGGCGGAAAAGGGAATCGAACAATTTATGATTTGGCGGAAAAGTGAATTGGGGGAAAAGGTAATGGTACACTTTTGGCGGAAACGGGTAACTCCCTTTTCAATCGTTCAACCAAAAAGGAATAACCTTCTCAATCCTTCAAAATATTTTCGAAAAAACACATAATACCAATAAAATTACAGATAATTGCACTATTGTTATCTAGAGCTCAACAAATTATCAATTATTAGCCATAACTTGTATAATAGTAGATATTTGAGATTTAGGTATTGCATTTTTTTATAAACAATTTAAAATTATTATAAAACAGCTGTAACTATTAAGAAACAGTATATTTTGCAAAAAAGTTGTCAATATATAGCACTCAAAAAGCTCTGCCTTAATTCTTCGCTTAATCGTGAACCGATTCTACGTTTCAATGTAAATAAAAAGGCGTGCGCTGACCAGTCATCACAATTTTATCTTTCTGAACATTTGTAAGCAAATAAGTACATATTAACAAGTTATATATTATTATGATCATTGTCCATAATATTATGGCCTCTCGTTTACTCGGCGCTTTTTCGGTTTGCTTACGTTTTTCACTATGGTGGATTCAATTGTTTTTTTTTTTATTTTCATATTTTTCCGCGAGCCCTACCTATAACATTCGGTACGATCACACAGCCAACGGACCGCGAGGCGGCCAAACACTCGCGCGGTCGCCAAGGCAGCGGTGCACCCAGCAACAGTGGGAATGCAGTCGGGCTGGCTCAAAAAAAAAACAAACACTCGGCTCGACCGACTATCGGCGAGCCGTACAAATATTGGATATTGATTTCGCGATCGCATCGATATAATAACCGTATAACAATAAATAACCGTGGACGGCGCTACAGTATACGTCACAGGAAAAATATATTGCAATATTGTCCTGCGCAGAACCGTGGACTTGCTCGTGTGTGTCTGTTTTCCGTTTTTTTTTTTATCCAAGTGCCGTCTCCGCCTAGTGGGACACGTAACGATTGCGCAGACAGTGACGACGACGACGACGACGACAACGGAGGCGGCGGCGGCGGCGGCGAAATGGATGGTTGTCGCCAGTCCCCAAACCCGATGCCATTCTGGTCGACCGGGTATTTCGGCCACGGTATCTCCGCCCTGCCCAAAGTAGCCGCCGTGCTGCCGTCGGACGAACTAGGCCGTCTCCGGTTCGCGACATCGTTGTTGGAAGAAATCCAACAGCTGTCAGAGGGCGTGCGCCGTGCGCTCGAATGTCCGGTGTGCAAAGAAGTGTCCGGCGCCATGTCCACGTGCTGCGATAACGGGCACGGCTTGTGCGACGAGTGCTCGTGCACCATGAACAGGCTGCACCCGGAGACGCCACCCAAGTGCCCGTTGTGCCGGTCACCGCCAGCGCGCCTGGAAGAGCACGCCTGCCCACAACTGCCTCCGCCGGCACTGCAGTCGGCGAACGCGTCGTCCTCAGAGCAGCAGCAGCAGCACAATTCGCGGCCACCGGTGGCCGTCCACACGCTGCCGCCGCCGGCTTCCACCCGCAAGCTGCACGAGTTCATGTCCATAGTGAAGGTGACGTGCGCTTACCGTCCGGTCGGCTGTCCGTACCTGGTATACGTGTTGTCGGCCGCCGTTCACGAGTCCATGTGTCCTCACGCACCGCATGTTCGGTGCATGGTGCCCTGTTGCCGATGGGCGGGTGCGTACGGCGAAGCGTTCCACCACGTTGCCACCGACCACCAGTTTTCCGCCTACGACGTAATGGTAACGTACACACCACCTGTATACCCCCCTCCCCTTCCCCATTTACGTGAGCTACCAACGACTACCACACGGCGCCGTAGCATTGTGCATCGGATATAGTGTTGGTGGGTGGTTGGGTGGAGCGAGGTCCAAGGTGGGTTAAATATAATGTAAATTGCACACAACTGCTCTACCCGAATTCTGTTTGAACTCTAAAGCGAAGGAGAATATTTTAAATTTGTTAGACTTATAATTCGATAGTTGTCGCACAAAACAGAAATATTAGAAATATTATATTATAAACTATAATATATATGCACATATGTGTATATTAGAGTTCTCTGTTTCCAAAATAAAAGATTTTTTGATATGCAATCATAATATTATGGAAATAAAAATTACATTTTTCATTTGAATTCCATAATGCGTTTTGAATGATTTGATATTATTTCTTACATTAATTTAATATTATATATCTACTATTAAATTAATACAATTTTTTAACAATTTTTGATGATAGAGTCATGTGTAACATTTTAATAATATTAAACATGTATTTAAAATATGTATACCCCAGTCAAATCGTAATATGCCGATATATTTTGGTTCGCCTAAGTACCGTAAAGTGTATAGTAAATTAGTAACGGTATCACCCACAGTATAATATAGTATATCATTTAAATGCTCTAAAGCTGCCTTTTCATAACGCACTTAAAGAAAAAATGTTCACCTCTTAAGTAAGCATCTGTTATATATAAAACGAACTATCATGAGCCTGAAATGCTTCGTCCTAGAGCACCCAACAAAATAATACACTTTTGGGTTAAAATCCTTGTCCTAAATGTATATAAAATATCACAAACGTATAAATTTCACTAATCGTCGGCGTATGGCGTTATCGCAGGAAAACCAGTTCCTAATGCCGGATCTGACGTTCGGACTGCAGGGCACCATGCGCCGGGCGTACCTGACGAGGAACGTCCAGGATGGCAACCTTCTTTACTGGGTTTGTGTGGCCCGACCGACGATGTCCGGCATCCAAGTGGCCGTGCTCAAAGTGTACGACCCAGATACGCCCACACAGCACACTGGTGGACCACCGGACATGGTTTTCCGGGTGCGGACTATGAGCCGGCAGGGCTGGCAACGTCAGAGGGGCCGCTCGCGGTCCGTTTGCTGGGACCGAATGGTGCTGGACCGCATGACGCGCGTGCTGGCCAGCGGCGAGAACCGAGAAAAGTGCATGACCACGTTGCACACGCCGCCGTGGTGCACTGCGACAGTGCGCAACGACCTGCAGTACGAAGCCATAATCACGTGGAACGAGGTCGTTCGGTAAACCCCCCTCCTTGGGGGCTGCACCGAGACAGACGGACACGATGGCGTCATCATAATTATTATTATTCATACTTAATAGTTAATATTACCGTTGTCGAATAACGTTTCGTCGAATTTTTAACTGCACGACGATGGAGGCGACTGCGCACTGCGCATGACCGACAGATGTAATGTAACTTATCTCATTGACCAGCCATCAAAATCATCGTCGCCGCTACATCAAATATTATTACCCCCTTGTGCTGCGCACCTCATCTGGTTCGACACGTGTTCAAGTGTCCGGTGGAAACGGTATATATAAGCCGGTTCAAGCTTCTGAGTGATAGTTTATTTGTCATAAGTGCATAGGTGCTCGATGGTGTAAGTTTTAATAAACAGACTTTTTTTTATAATAACTGATGTCATTGCTGTTATTGATTTTTAATATGTTTTGATCGCTTTAGCAGAGGAATCATACGGTATAATAAGCATTTCGATCACACATGCGACGTACCCAAATAGCCAAAATTATAATAAACAGTTTGTTCTAGAATAAAATTATTATTCCATGGATTTGTTCCTACTATCCACAAACATAGGTATTAGTGTCAAGTTCTGGTTGATCGAATATTTATCAGTTGATTCTTCGAGTTGACTTTTCAATTAAATAAGTCAACTTTGTTCTTTCGATATTTTTTGATATTGTGACTTGTGAGGTGTAATAATTACTAGCAGTTATGTTAGAAAAGCTTTAATTTGTCATAACAATAATTACAGACTACCTATTATACAGGTACTATACAACGCATAATATTATCCTCGACATATTTTTAAAAACATATAACAGAGAAAATGAAAATTATTTTTGATAAAACCACTTAATATGTTCATATGGGGCCTTATGGGTGGATACTGTTAAACGTGGCTTTATTATTCACACAATAATAGTACTATATTATGTTTATGAAGTAGGTATAAGTAGGCAGGTAGGTATATCTACATATGTACATTATGTGTAAAATAATAAAATGTGAATGAACAGGGCACTAACAAATGAGGGAGAGGATCAGTCAGCACTATGATCTAGGGGCCCATGAAATCAAACATAATTTGTTTATATGAGTATTAATAAATAAATAAATAAAATATAAACAAATAAAACGATTAGTGTCATCCCAGTTATACCATATCTTTACAAAATATTAGTATATAAATAATTCAATTTCTTACTACAAAAATTAATTTGTGTAACAATCTATCTATTACTGAATTATTTTTGATGAAAAAAAAAATCATAGATATGAGAAATATTAGTCTTCAGCCATAGTAGATATTCCAACAAAATGTGCAAAATTTATATATTAAAATGAACTAAATTATTGTACATGCATGTTTCTTAAACTTGTTTTAGTGTAAATAATATAAATGATACTTTATAAAGGTATCAGATATATAACAGTGTATGAAAAAAAACTGTTTAATCAATATTATAGGTAAATTTCGTAAAAATTAAAAATCAAATGTTTGTATTATTGCCAAAAGCAGCATATTATATCATATTATAACATTTTATTGTTTACGTTTTATTATTTTCTATGGCGGCCAATCCGTCAAAATTCATGCTATATCGCAGGTCAGAGCCTACATCCCCATAATGATGCAAATAATTGTCTTATGCATTTATGTTTGTCTTGTAAAATTTGAATTATAATACAGTCCACTATGTTATTACAAGCTGAAGTAGTGAAGTCATTATTATTAGTGAACTATCTCCTTGGTCGAATCTCTAATACAATACATGACATAATATTACATTATCCTATAATTCTATTAACGACATGTTGAAATATTCCTGTATAAATTACTTTCAGATCTTTCTGCAATAATTAATCCCCTAATTTCTCTCCTTACCACGATATTACACAATCATTATATCACAAAGTGCAGTATTATTTCTATCTCATTACATTTAATTATTATAATAATGGCATATATCTCATTAGATTATGTTATTAATTTTCTTGTACATTTTAATTGGCCTTCTAATTATATTACATTATGTAGGTAATATTGATTATTTTAAAACAATTACATTATTACTATGCTTAAGTATTACATTGTGTAAGTATTCAAATTAAAGTATATTATACACTTTAAGACCATAATAACTGCTATTTAAAAACTAATTAAATAAAAAAATTCAGACATTTACATTATTATATTTATGTATAAATACACACACTTATAAACGCTTATTATCACACACGTAGTTTAAAGGTATTTGCCGATTTTCTCTGCTGTCCCCACCACCATTGTTTTGAGCTACACACAACTACATATCATATTATACAAATAAACACAAGCCAATTGGTGTGTCGTAGATGGCTTATTATTTATTTTTTTCGTATACCTGACCCGTGCACACATTTGATGTTGGTACACTTATACATGTATTTGGAAACAAAATGTTTCTGAAACAAGTGATAAGCAGCTGTATCTACAGATAGTATATAATTACAAATTGTTCAGAGTTTTCATATTTTGTATAGATAAAGAAGTGTTGGATTCGAGATTCGAGTATTGAAAAAAATATTTATTTTTGACTGTAGAATTTTTAACTGTTTTTAGAGCTTTTAAGGATAACCATACATTTGGGTGCAAGCCCCCCCCCCCCCTACATAAGTATATGATTAGTAATTATTATTTGGGTATATTTTAGTTTGTGTTTGACAACCAATAGATCTTTTATAGCTTTCGATAGAAAAAAAGTTTAATTCGGCCAACACTCGTAACTAGAGGTGAGGAACGATGGCATACGTTTACCGTTTTAAGTACGTTCCTTTCAAACCGTATGACCATATTATGATGTTAATATATTCCATTGCTGTTAAGTCCTAAGACCTCATGACCATAGGATATTTATACCCCCGCGCAGTAAAGTCATAAAGGTAGAACATCAAACGGTTGCAAGAAAGTTTAACACAATTTATGGTCGGAAACACTTTTATTGCATTTAAAAAAAAACATATAATATTTCACTGAGGTTTGTGTGATATCCGTTCGCCTCTCCATGTACGACCGTCATATACACACAGTCCTTCCGAACTCTAACGCAACAGAACTCTCCTTATACGCACTGCGTTTGTGGCATTAAATAACAAAATATTATAATGTCACCTCAGCACAGTTTTCTACTTGAACCCTCCCTATTTCAGTGACTTTCGTCCTAAAATATATATTAGAATAATGTGTTCCTATCCTACATGCTTACATATAAATTATATTATAATGTTAAGGTAAGGCCGTATTTAGGGAAGATCAATAGAGACATTTGCCCCGGGCGGCCAAATATTGATATATTTAAATGGCGGCGGGGCCCCCAGAGGTAACTCGGTGTAGTGTCGTATCAATTAATGTTTTTTTTTTGGAAAAAAGGTGTTCTATGACTCGACCTTTGTGAACTTAACAGTGCAACAATAACTACTGATAAGTGTTAGTGATTAGCATAGAATATAATTAATATTATTTTAACATAACCACGGTTGTAGATAGACAACCATGACTTAACCATAAAGAATTATAACTAAAAATGTGTTAAGAAAAATCAAAAAAGTGGATTTATTTTTTGGTTGGGGAGGAGGTAAAATTATGGTTGACCCAGGGCTCAAAAATTGTAAATACGGCCCTGTGTTAAGGATCGTTCATAGTATACGACTCAATAGTATTAATACATATTATAAAAGTGTGAACTCTTACAGTATGACAGAAATAAAATAGAGTACGTCTAATAAAGAACAAACAATTTGTTTTAACAATACCAAACACAGGAAAAACAGTCAATTGCTGATCCAGATCCAGTTCTCACTTACTCTAAACCACACCCTCCAATTTTCATACGAGGCGTAGAAGACTTCCCTGGTGTTTGTACAAAACTAATTGAATTAATAGGTGTCGATAATTTTATCTGCAAGTCAACGGCTGATCATTTAAAAATCCAAACTACCAATCCAGGAGCGTATAGAACACTAGTTCACTACTTAAGAGATGCGGAAGCTGAATTCCATACATTCCAGCTAAAAGAAGATAAACCCATGCGTATAGTTATTCGTAACTTGCACCCATCCACTCCAACGGAAATGATCAAAAGTGAACTCGAACTTCGCTTATATGAAGTCAGACAAGTTACGCAGGTTATTCACAGAATTAGCAAAATACCCCTGCCATTATTTTTTGTCGACCTCGAGCCAACAGATCACTCAAATGAGATTTTTAAACTTGAATCCTTATTGCACACAAAAATAAAAATAGAAGAACCTCACAAGCCTAAAATTATTAGTCAATGCCAGAACTGTCAAGCTTATGGTCATACCAAAGCCTACTGCGGATATAGTCCTCGTTGTGTCCGGTGCGGTGATGACCATTCTTCATCTGCCTGTCCAAATTCACGTCAAGACCCAATGCGATGCGCCCTCTGCACAGGTAACCACCCTGCAAACTACAGGGGATGCACAGTTTACAAAAACCTCCAGCAACGTAAGAAAACCAACCTAAATAATCAAAAATTACATGTAAACTCTAGTCATAAGCCTAACAATGTACAAGATAGCCACCCACGCAATACCACTTCCAACAATCCTCCTCCTAGCCAACCTCAAACGTATGCTCAGGCAACTCAAGGTCAACATCCACAATCTAATATTCCTCTGCCTACTCCCGATATTAATTCGCTAATGGCAAGCTTTGTAAGCGAGCTTAAAACTCTCATCAATCCATTAATCTCACTACTTACTCAGGTAATCTCAAGCTTATTG